GATCGATAGAAAAAGCACAAGTGGTACGTGTCACATTCTCGGGAATGCACTAGTGTCGTGGGCATGTAAGAAGCAAGCGTGTGTGGCACTCAGTACAGCGGAAGCGGAATATATTGCAGCAGGAAGTTGCTGTGCACAAATTCTGTGGCTCAAGCAACAACTCCTCGATTATAGTGTAGATCTCGGTTGCATTCCTCTTCGATGTGATAACACAAGTGCCATCAACATTACAAATAACCCGGTCATGCATTCAAGGACAAAGCATATAGATATTCGGCATCACTTCCTTCGAGATCACGTACTTAATGGAGATGTAGATGTTACTTTCGTCGATACACGCAATCAACTCGCCGACATCTTCACCAAACCATTGGCGAAAGAACCGTTCTTCAAAATTCGATGAGAACTTGGGATTCTCGATGAAGGTGACATCTGATCTTTTCTCTGGTTTATGAATGCATAATGTATGTCTTCCAATCTGTGTGCATTCTGTCTTAAGCATTTTTCCAAAATTCGCGTGTGTTAATCGATTAACCTATATGGTTAACCGATTAACACTGTTAGTTTTTCAATTCTGACTTAATTTTTTAATGTGTTAACCGATTAACCTATATGGTTAACCGATTAACACTGATACTTTTTATTTTAGAAATTAAATTTTTAATGTGTTAACCGATTAAACTATATGGTTAACCGATTAACACTGTTAAAATGGTCAAAAATCAGAAACGAAAAATTAATTCAAATTTTGGGAAATGTGTGTGTTAAACGTGTTTTTATGTATGGTCAATATTTTCTTAAATATCCAAATCAATATCCTTGGAACTCTTCTTCTTCTTCTTTGACTACAAGTTTTGGACTTCCAACCCTAACTTTAAAACCCACTCAACCTCTCTCCATATATATTGCCTTCACTTTACCCTCTCTTCCATCTCCTCAAACCCTAAATTTTCAGCAACTCAAAACCCTCAGCATCTCTCAACTTCATCCATGGCTTCATCTCACAAAGGCAAGGGAAAGATACCAGAATATGGCTCTGCCTATGAGGAAGACAGCATTCCTATGGAAACTACCAAGAAGCGCCGTATGGATTTTAAGGTTCGGGTCCGTCACATTCTACCGGTAAAGTACGTCAACCTTAAAGCTTTTCCGGATTCTTCGTTTGATTTTCCTGCATTGCTCAAATTTCAACGAATTCATAAGTTTGTATCTGATACTGGGAATTGCTACCACGATTTGGTCAAAGCTTTTATGAATAAGTTATCTGTCTACTTGAATGCCGATGATGAACATATTATGGAAACCTCTATTCGAGACTGTCTCTTGAAAGAAAATCTGTCCGAAATTGCTGCAAAATTAAAGATACCATCCTCAGGCTACTTTCTCAAGAAAAGGGTTAACCACGTGGAAGGGCCGTGGGCAAACTATGACAAGATGGAATATTACTATCAAATTTGCAGGTTCCCGAAGGAGACGGTTATAGCAAACCAACGAACTGCTCGCATGTTATGTTATGCAAAGAATCTGACGGTTTCTGATCGGATGCTGCATTATGTGATCTGCTATGTTCTGATTCCAAAGGATTCTAATCATGCTCAAATTAACGATTTGGAAATGCAACTCTTATTCGCAATCAAGAACAAGATCAAGGTGAACTAGATTCTTACAATTATGTACCATCTACAACAGCAGCTCTCTCTCTCTCTCTCTCTCGACAAGGCTTCCATATGCAAGGTTGGTTTCTAGAATTCTTGAGTTGATAGAATTGGATCTTAACCGGGAACCATCTACCAAAATGAAACCGACAACCAACAAGATCAATGAAATCACCATTGTGAAGAACACCGAAATAATTAAAGACGTTGACGACACATATAAGTATGCGGACGGAGGATCAGCTTCTAACCAAGCCTATCCCATTCCCGAAGGAGGTATCATAAACAAGTTTCTCTACACCACAATGATGAACCAACACCGAGAAACCTCCCAAGCCATTGCTTCACTTCGCAACCTTATCCTTACCTCCCAGCATTCAACCACCGACATCGATGAACAAGAGGAAGGTAGTGAAGAAGAGGAAGCTGAAGATGAGGATATGTCCGATCGAGATGTTTAGAAAATATGTGTTGTTGTTTTTATTGTTTTTCTTTCCGATTATGTTTAATTTATTAAGTTGTTTATTTCATTTGTAACCGTACAATGTTTGCTGCATTTTTTCTATGTGCTGCATTTTTAATTCAATCTATTATGCCGTGCTTGATTACTTATTACTTGATTATATGTTGTGATATATGCCGATAGTGCTTATTATGGTTTGAAAGCTCCTTCCTTTTTGCTAATGACAAAGGGGGAGAAGAGCTTGATTTTCTAATATCTCTCTGTGCAGAATTTTGCCTCTGTTTAGATAAGGGGAGTTGCTGGACATAGGGGGAGAAGCAAACCAAGAACGGAACGAAACATTGTCAAAGATATCGCACAGACTCATTTGATTGTCATCATAAAAAAGGGGGAGAATGTAGAAGCATACTTCAATCTCAAGGTTTTGATTATGTCAACAAGACTTAAGCTCATTCCATGTTTGCAAAAAGTCAAGCTTTCAAAGTGATCAAGATCAAGGCTATGCATCATCAATGCAATGTTGTCATGCAAATCAAGCTTCATGTGCAAATGATCGTCAATTCTTCAAGACTTAAACTCAAGGATTTGGTATATCAAAATTCACTCCTTTAATTGATATACAAGTGTTCAAATAGTCTATCATATCAACATATTGCATTTGCATATTTTAAAATAATTTGGAACTGGTATAACACTTTTAACTTAAGTATTTTTCTGAATTTTCACAGTGTTAACCGATTAACCATATAGGTTAACCGGTTAACGGTCTCAAATTTTAAATTCTCAGGGCTAACGTTCCAGTGTTAACAGATTAACCTATATGGTTAACCGATTAACACTGAACGAATTTTGAAAAATTGTTTCTTTCCAAATTCAAATCTTGTGTAATTGTTATACCTTTTCATTATTTGATTCATACACATTAATACCTTTTTGAAATGGTGTTTTGACTCATATAAATTCTGAACATTTCAAAATTGAAAAACACCTCCAATAATTTTCAAAATAATCATTCAATCAAATTCACTAAATTTCAAATATTTTCAAATATTTCAAAAGTGTTCATATTGTTCATACCATTTCATATCCAGAATTTTTGAACACTTGTATTGATATTGAAAAGTGAATTTTGATCAAAAGGAGAAGATCAATCATTGTATTGATATTATTATTATATCACTCTCAAATCAAAAGAATTACAAAATTGTTTCTATTGTGACTTGTGATCCAGGATTGTTGGACACAAGGGTTAGTGCTTGCAAGAGGATTGTTCTTGCACACTAGTTGTTGAATAGTTGTTAGATAGTAGGCCTCACCGATTGATGGTGTGATAGGTTGTACATTCTAAAACTATAGTGAAAAATCTCTTTCGTGTGGAAAGGGGAGTGGAGTACCTTCGAATTGTGAAGGGAACCACTATAAATCTCTGTGTCCATTTTTATTCTGCTTTCATCATCAAGAACATAACCGAGTAAAATTCAAGAATCTCGAAAAACCGGAAAAAAGTTCCCCCCCCCCCCCCCCCCCTTAGGCATACTCTGAACTTACAATTCCATCTCACTTCTTGTTGCTTCGGTGTTGTGGTTATATTTCTTTTCACAATTTTGCATTCAATAACAAAGGGTTCAGATCTTCTCTTGTTTCTAGATCTAAATTCATTAATAAGATGAAAATACAAATTGATATCAATATACCCAAGATCAAGTCATTTAATCGGAATGAGATTTATTTATTTACAAACTAAAACCTAAACTCAAGTCACACTCAAATCAATTCATAATTATGATAGGTTGTGATTGAAGTTTACAAAGTGGTATGAACTAATGCACGGAACAACCGTTGGTGTGGCATAATGCGGAGTCTGAGGTTAATTCATATTACATAAGCTTTGAAATGCAATCCTGTGGTTGGAGAGTGAACCCATAAAAATGAAAATAGAGAAATGAAAATATTCGATCTCTATAGTTTTATTTTTCTTTATCATTTTAGTTTAATATATTGATATTGAAATCTTAAATCTCAACCATTAAAATTTTTAATTACCACGTGTCGTTCATCTGTACATTAAACTGGACAATTGGGGAATATTATAAATGGAGTAGATCTAAATTCGGATTTGTGTTAGGAAGATTTCAAAATCTTGTAAGCCGCTTAGCCTTAATGGGCTTAAAGCCCAAGTATAAATCTTTTTTGACCCTAGTAATGAGAAGCCTTTAATAAAAAAAATTCTTCTTTATATTTATTTTCAATACGTTAAATACTTCAATATTTTTTATTGTTTCTATTCCTTAAAACATATTATCCTTAACAAATGAATTATAGTTGAGATAGAACAAAAATAATTATATTATTATAGATATGGGAAGAACATGATAGGTTTGTCCACTACCCACCAAGCCTGATTTCTGGTTATTCCGTTTTGCTCTTTTCAAAATTGCCAAATGCTTTCTCCACATCCTCAAAAGTAAGGCCAATACCTATAAGGTATATTTGTCGGTTCCCACTTCTAAAGCCATTAAAAAATTGGTTAACATTCACATGAAAAACTTACCACTTTGTCCACTACACTTTTCTTATTATATATAGTAACCAAACCTTTCTTACTTTGCATGTATATTCCACACCATCCAACTTCTATTAAACCTGTTGCAACTTGTGTTCTAGTGCTCCTACAACTCACTTTAACAAAGAAGCTAGAATCTTCATTTGTTTCTTTCAACTTCCCCAAACTAAGGGTTACTCTTTGTGCTTTTTTTCTTTTCATCTAGTTCTTTACACTTAACCTAACACTCACTATAAGCCAATTGGTGTCTTAATTTTTAGTAGAATTTATTTTCTTTCTTATTTTAGTCTCAAGTAGTAGAAACTATTTAAATTTCAAAATGAGCTACTCTCCTATTTTAATACTATTATTCTCTATATATTTTCTTACTTTGTATCTTTCTGTTGAAGCAAGACATCATTCTCATACAAAACACAAACATTATCATAATCCACCATCTGAAATTTCAATACCTCCTTCTCCATTACCTTCACCACCATATTTTAGTGCTCCTCCTGAAGAACTTCCTAGTCCTCCTCCTACTAGTGATGATAATAATTGCCAAAATGTATCTGGTTTATTCGATGTACGAACATTTGGTGCCGTTGGAGATGGAATAACCGATGATACCGAGTCTTTCAAAATGGCTTGGGACAGTGCTTGCCAAAGTGAATTACCACTTAATGTTATCATTGTTCCTAGTGGTTTCTCCTTCATTGTTCAATCTACTATTTTCACAGGTCCTTGTAATGGTGGATTAGTATTAAAGGTAGTGTACTTAGTGCTATTTATATTAATTTATTTGAGTTTATGACGACTTGTATCTAATCTGTTTTCAACTTCTTTTCATAAGTTCTTTAAAATATTTACAAAAATAACTTATAGCACTATTAAAAAAAGGTTGAAAAGTAGTGGAAATTAGTGGTGGAAAAGTAAAACTTGTTTACAAATTAGGCGTTTCATCTCTAAAAAGTGAATAAATGGGATGTCGTGAGTTAGACTTAGAACTCGCGTTCCTACAATCAGATGTCTTTGCACAATTATCAACTGAGCTGACTTAACTGATCATTTTATTGGTGTATATGGAGAAGGTTGATGGCACTCTTATGACACCTGATGGACCTGAATCTTGGCTCAAAAACAACAGTAGGCGTCAATGGTTAGTTTTTTATAGAATCAACGGTATGTCACTTGAAGGAAGTGGTACAATTGATGGCAGAGGACAAAAATGGTGGGATCTTCCTTGTAAGCCTCGGAAGGTAAATATACTAATCTAACTTATAATCTTAAGCAAATTAAATTTCGTCGCTTAAAACAGTATCTGATTCTGATCCGTCGGTAACAATTCTTCCACAGGGACCTAATGGAACAACATTACCAGGACCTTGTGACAGCCCAGTTGTAAGTTTTTCAAAACCTTTCTTATTATGCATTTTATACAGTTATATACTTTATGTATGATTGAAAATGATTACTTGAATGTAACTTTGTAACTTTGATTTTGCAGGCTATAAGATTTTTCTTGAGTTCGAATTTGACTGTACAAGGACTTAGGATTAAAAACAGCCCTCAATTCCATTTCAGATTCGATGGCTGCCAAACTGTTCATGTAGAATCGATCGTCATAACAGCTCCGGCCTTGAGCCCGAACACCGATGGAATACACATAGAAAATACTAATGATGTCAAAATATATAACTCTATTGTTTCCAATGGTTAGTTACAAAATGATCCCTTAGCTCCTGTATTTTGCAGCATCACAAAGCTCTAATAACAACATTTTTCATGAATTTTTACTTTTATAGGTGATGATTGTGTTTCCATTGGAACTGGTTGCTTTGATGTTGATATTAAAAACATTACATGTGGACCAGGTCATGGCATAAGGTAATTTATTACTTCCTTTAATCGTCTTTAATATAAGAAAAAAAAATATTTTTAAATTTATTGAATAATCCGTGTATCTGATTCATGTTTTAGATAAGATTCGGTGATTATTAATTTAAAAATCAATTTTTTTATATTAAAAACCTCATGGAGTATTTGTTTTCATGAAAAGTTACATTCAATATGGATTTGGATTGCGTGCAGTAACGCTTTGACTATATGTTGTATGTCACAACCTTGTGATTATATGAAGTCGGCTACATATAGACACTAAATTTTAATCTCGACATTATAGATTGAGAAAAACAAATTTAAAATCTGAATCATCAGATCTTGATCAGACAATTTAGACGTGGTTGACTATGTGTCGTCACGCTGCAAACAATCTAAATCGGGTTTATATATTGTACTAGTTTATCATTTGAGCTTAATCATTTCTTTTGTTTTACTTTGTTCAGCATTGGAAGTTTGGGAAACCACAACTCAAGAGCATGTGTAACAAACATAACCGTACGAGAATCAACTATAAAAATGTCCGATAACGGAGTAAGAATCAAGACATGGCAAGGTGGATCAGGATCAGTATCAGGAGTAACATTTAAGAATATTCACATGGATACAGTGAAAAATCCAATTATAATTGACCAATTTTACTGTCTCAGCAAAGATTGCAGCAATAAAACCTCTGCAGTTTTTGTATCAGACATAGTTTACACAAGCATAAAAGGAACTTATGATATTAAGCATCCTCCTATGCATTTCGCGTGCAGCGACTCCGTCCCTTGCACAAACTTGACTCTCTCTGATGTTGAGCTTCTTCCATCTCAAGGAGATATTTTAAGTGATGCTTTTTGTTGGAATGCTTATGGAAATTCAGAGACTTTGACTATTCCTCCAGTTTTTTGCTTGCTGGATGGTAATCCTCAGTCCATTTCAGATAATGATATTAATCAATGTAGATGAGTATTTATATTCTGTAAAGTTAAAATGTGTGTGTATATAATTATTACAAGACAAGTGATTTAGGAATGGTTTTGAGTGTTTGGGTTTGATTGAATGATTGTTGAAGAGTTGTGTTTTTGATGCTCTTCCACAATTGTTAACTATGTATTGTATATTTTCAATTTGAAATTGAGATTTGGACTTGTTAGCTTGAATTTGTCACCAACATATAGTAAATAAATCTTGATATTGTCACCCAGGTTAAAAAAACTGTGAAAATGACCGTGACAAAACGGTATCAAAAGATGTCGGTGTCAATACTGTTATTTACTGTTTTATGATAAAAATTATATTGTAGTTAATTCACATCGAACCACTACAATCAAAATATAACACTGGATGCAAAGGTCTTTACGCAATCCTAACTTGACCACGATATTTATTTAAAACTTGATTGTGACATAAACACTAAACTAGCTTATCCATTTAATTTGGCCATTTTTTCTAAGTTTAGATCTTTCATTCTTCAACCACACCACCAACTTAAAACCGCGAAGACAAAATTCTGGTCCCTTGAGCTTTTGCAAAAAATCCAAGTGAATAATTTTTGTCCCTAGCTTTTATCATTGTTACAAATTTTAGAAATTGATTGAGGTTCTCATTATTGATGCACACGCTAATATAATGTTCTTACCAATCGCTTTCGTCTCATTCTTTTGCTCATGGTTATGTCATAAATGTTTTTTTTTTGGGACCATTCAATTAAACAACTAGGACAAAGTATTTACTACGGTTTCATTTGAATTATAATTCATCCTTTCTTTTTTAATGATTTTTCTTTCTCTTGATATTTTGCACAAATTTAGAAAGATAATAAATTTTGTCATCTAAAAGAAAATTTTTCACCTATGATGTTCTTAATCATGGATGTCAAACTCGCGGGTAGACTCGTAAAATTGTATTAGGAAACATAAACGAATAAATTCATACATAAAATCATTTTTTGATAGACTCGCAGAAACTCGTATAGACTCACGAATCTATAACGAGTTTACGAGTCTATAAATTTTTATTTTTTTTAAAAAGATCTAAATTCCTTAAAAAAATTTAGTTTATTTTTTTTTTTATAAAAAAAACCCTTATTTTTTTTCTTGTACGAGAATTTAAAAAGTCTCTCTAATAGTCTTTTGTTTCAGCAAAGTTTCTTCCCCCTCGTCGACGACGTGAGTTTATCCTGTCTCTTGCTTTGTTCCTGTCTATTGTCATAAATCAATCCTTTGTGAATAAATATTTGTGACAAAAATTGTTCAAAAAATTTATGATTTATGGCGGAAAATAGTTAGGAAGGATATGTTAATTGCTTAAGGATGGAATTTCTATGAAGATATGACTCCATAATTAAAGATGTTTGCAATTCGTGTTCTAAACTTAACTTGTAGCTCTTATGGTTGTGAACGTAATTGAAGTTTCTTTGAAATGATAATGATGAATTATTATTTGTTTGTTTAAGACTTGAGTTTAATTTTTTAGATACATTGAGTTGAATTATTATTTAATTTTTAAGTTCATAAAAAGAGAAGAAATAGATTGTATAAAAAAAGGTGAATAATTTGGTTTATATAATGTAAAATTTAAAGTTGAAAAGTGGAAAAGGAAAATCAAATAGTGTTGTTCTTTCATTTGAAGGTAGCCATTTAGATGATGAATAAATAATTGAAGAATATAATGAAGAAAATGTGAAAACTGAAGTTAATGTTGAGTAAGATGATGTTATTGTTCATAATATTGCGGAAGCTGATGTTGTTGTAACTAATATTGTGCAAAGTGGTGGTGGTGTCAATGTTAAATTAGGTGGAAGTGGAACTTCAAGCAATCCAACATTGATTAGAGATGAAAAAAGTGTTTCATCCGAGATAGATTTTGATGATGATATTAAAGATACCGATAAAGATGATGGTGATTATATTGGTGGTTGTGATTTCACTAGAACTTTGGATGTTTGAAGCTATTAAAATATGTTTTTTTATAATTTTTTTTTCTTGATGTAGTAGTGATTTAAGAGAAAATTAGTAATTTAAGTCTTAACTATATACTTTGCAATTTTGTTTCTTTTATTATTGAATTTTTTTGTTAAGAAATTTGTTATGGAGTATGAAATTTAAATTTTCATGATAATTGGTGTTGTATTATATATTTATGTCATTAGCGAGAAATTTATAAATATAAAAACATAGGAAATGTGTCATATATGTGTCACTTATTGGTTTTTGAAAGTCATTTTTAATTTTTCGTAGACTTGTACGAGTTTACGAGTCGAGTCTGCGAGTTGAGTCTACGAACCTTTAATGAGTCTGAGTAAACTCACGAGTTTGACAATCTTGCTCTTAACTATTTCTTGTTAGTGTAATGCAATAAAATTGAGTGAATGGAATGTATATTAGATATTATTGAAACAAGTGGTATATATACAAGTAATGGAAGATTCGCATCAGGTATATCTAAACCAATAAAGCAAATTACCAAAATTAATTAACTAACCAAAATTCAAATGTAATTTTAACTACAAGAAAAACCAGCAACCTTCCTTAATTCTATAGATATCACACCAAACTCTTTTTAAGCTTTTCAAAAGTATCAAGATTAACAACTTTAGTGAATAAATCTGCTAATTATTTTTCAGTTGAGCAATCGATTACATTCAACATTTTCTTGTTGATTTTCATTTTGTTTTGTTTAAAAACCATAGTTGTTGATGCAGACCCTTGTTTTGTTGGTGGGAGCTGCTCCGGTGGATTGTCAGGGGTGAACTTGCAAACTTAGCACTCCAACGCTCAAGTTATTTTCAAATAAAGTAAATAGAGTGAGTTATGGATTAAAATCATACTTTTCTACTCAAACACTGGTGTTTATGTAATGGACAAAATTGGACCTTCCTTGCATTCGTCCTGCAGCCGATCCAAAACAGTTGCCCCCAAGACTTGTTATGGCATGGTGCATGGGAAGTTTTCCAAAGAGCTGGGTCAGGTACGTCTAGTGTGATCCCATGTTGAGAAGTGGAAAAAGACTAAAGACAACTTCATTAAATGCATGTTTCATCATTCAGATCTTTCGAAGGTTTCTTCGCACATTGCCCTAAGTTTATAAGTTAAGGTGTGGCATGTATACCTAGGGTGCTTGAGTGCATTCAACTGTTTTTACATATCTGATATATCATCTGAACCATTGATTTTTAACCTTCCATTTATTTTAGTTCTGTAACGTTGATTCACTTCATTCGTTTCACTAAATTACGGTTGCTTTAGTTTTTCAAATAACTTTTTGTTCCTTCTCATACTTGACCTTAGCATTCATGTGACCTTTTTCTTCTTCTTCTTCTTCAATGTTTTGGTTTTTCATGGTTATTTCTATCTTCATTTTTTTGTTATGGCATTCGTGTTGCCAAGCTCTTCCAGCTCTAAGTAATTTCTTCGCTTGATCTCTTACTCATGCACCATTCTCGAACCTTTTCCCTTTCATTTGATGTTTATCCTTTTTAGTGTTTACCATGTCTAACTTAGGAGATGTGCATGAGAACCTAAACAAAGCTGATGGGGGAAGGATTCTCAAATATCAACATTAATGAGAATCGTGACATTCCAAATGTTGAATCCCTAGAAATTAATGGCCCTGATCCTAATTTTATAATACTAAGTGATAGTTTTAGGTCCATAGGAGGTTCTGTTGAAAGCAGTGACAATCCTCTTAGTTACTATAAAGGGGATGAAGAGGCGGACTCTAATAATCAGGCTTATATGGAAGTGGTTACTCGTTTTGTTTCCTCCATCCAATCTACTAATAAACTGGATGCAGTCATTGTAGCCCGAGATGAGTGAAGAGCTCTTTTATACACTGATTCTTTTAGGATGGCACACGACCAAGACCCTAGCGATATAGAACTTAGGAACCATCTTTTCTTTAGGAGTAAGCATGCGATTTCTGACCAGTGTTATATTTTACATGATAGTTGGAGAGAAATGGTAAAGCAAGGACGTGAGGATTTAGTATCGCCACCAGATGTTGAATTATACAATTGGGTAGATCCTAAGTTAGTAGGCATAGTTTCTATCTTTGATAGCGGAGAAAAGGTGATGGAAGCTCAAATAGAAGTGGGTTTTTTTTTTGTTTGGCATGTCTCACACATTGACACCGACAAGAGGATTTGTAGTTCTTATGATATATGGTTCGTCCCTTTCTATGAGTGTCGCTTCACATGGTTGAAATTCATGTTTCCCTTTAATGGGTTCGAAGAAGAGTTGTTGAATCTCCTGAACATTGCTTCTTCTCTGCCAATGTGTTCCAGTATTGGTGATACTACCATGAGAAGGTATCGCTCCTTGACCTTTTTTTTAATTTATTTTATCTAGCTATCATTTCTAAGGATCCTATATGTGGGAAGAGAATGCTTTTTCTTCACTAATCAACTAGGTTGTTAGGTGTTTACATGGATAAATGGAAGAATCCAATTGAAGAAGGGGGACCAAGATAAGAATCTTATATTAATGACCCGATAGTGTATTTATTTACATGAAAAGTTACTTTCAATATGGATTAAAACATGCATCTCGTAAGTGGTACCACAAGCTTCATGAACAATTCTCTCATTTGGTTTTGAGGTAAATGTTATTGAGGATTGTGTGTATCACTAATTCAGTGAAAGCAAGTACATTTACTGGTCTTATATGTTGATCACATACTGCCTTCCACTAATGATATAGGCACGATGCACAAAACTAAGAAATTTCTAGCTTAATATCATTTTTGGTCCCGTATCTTAACCTCGAAGTTCATTTTGGTCCCTTAACTTTAAAAAGGTCCATATTGGTCCATTAACTTTTCAAAACGTGTCATATTAGTCCTTTATGTCCTATTAGTGACAAAAATTCAAAAATTAGTCACTAAATTCATCGCTAATTAGACAAAGAGGACTAATATGAAACATTTTGAAGAGCTAAGGGACCAATATGGACCTTTTTAAAGTTAAG